CTTCGAAGATCGAGTCGACACTCCTGGCGAGTCTGACAAAATGCTTGCAAGCCTTTTGGACTTGATCTACCCAAGACGTGTCCGGTAACACCAACATAAAGATCCATGTGGACACGAGCGAGATGGATCATCTCGCCGTTGTCCGAAACCGGTGGGGATATTGTCAAGCTTATTTTCGACTAGGTTCTTATTCAACATGGTTTGCTGGTGGCCATGGTTTTGGATCGATGTTCACGCACTAAGGCAAAGTCAACGAACGTTGTTTACAGATACCTGGCGTTAAATCGGGAATGTCCACCGCTGACCATGTCATAAATATATTCAGATCAAATAGAGCGCGGTTTTCATGGTCGAACATACCCCCCTGAGGCACTTGCGCGAAGCGACTACGTTGCTGGAACGAAATTCTGCTGCCCAATGAGTTTGCACTAAATCACACAATGCAGCCCACTCTATTCCTTATAAATGCTTGGTAAACCAGTGGCGCTCCCTTTACTCAGTTCCGAAGTGTTGGGATGAGAGATGTTGTCGATACAAATTGACATTAGAATGGTAATACATTGTAGCCAATTCAAAAGTTACCCCAACGAGATCGATCGCATAGGGCGCGATAGTATGACCAAATTTCTCGATATGAAACAGCAATATGCAGATCCAGAGAAAGGCGAAATACACATAAATTATAGATAGGTGCGAAATTTTCAAGCGCTGTTTACTTACATGCATATGCATTGTCTGCGATTTGTAAGCCTCAATTGTGTCCTGGCTAGATCGGACCTTTTGTTGGCTTAGCCAGTTAGCGATTGAGCTACACTTTCAATGTCCCAGAAAGATTGCAAACACAACCTCGCTTCCCTTTCAGGCTTAGATGAAGCCGTATCACGATTTCGCTATCATAAATCGCTCTGCTCTATTGTGGGCGTTGTAATGTCTCATCTTTCCCTCGTAACTGCGCTACCTTCTGCTCTAGAGTATAAATTTAAATCTGAAGGACTTGATTGCGTTATAGCTATCGGTACTATTATGCATTCGATAAAGGACTCGCGTCAGCGTTCGAATATGGTGAACCATGCCAAAAGCTTGCGAGCGGTGCTCATGGTACGCTTTGCACGAACAGCTGCTAAAGAGAAATCCTTCACGGACCTACCTAATGAGCACGGTTTCCGCACATTCTAAGTGGTTCGGTGGTTCATCAACTCCGACCAGTATCTTGTAAATTGAAAGGCCCTCCGACTTTCAAAATATCGGTCTGAAGCTTCATTCGCTACGTACGACTTGACCACTTTCCGTCTTTAAGCCCCGGTAAAGAGACAGATTCGTCCAGCGCGACGCGTTTCTCACCAGCAAGTGGCGGCAACCTCGCTTCAAGCTCAACGCATGATCGGTACTAGGTGGCGCATGAAGATAAGCAGGATTATTGACGGCAAGAATCCGTTCGACAAGTGTCCACCTTGGTGTCCGCTTCGTGCTTGTACTTTATAAAGTCAAGCGATTCTCGACGCTTAAGTCGGGCGTAAACATCACTCAAGCGAGCTTGTAGAGCTGAACTCGGGTGATGCGAAAAATCTTTTACTCATTGTGCGATTTGAGCATGATAATCCTTGATAATCTCACCAGCGTTTGATATGTATGCATTGACGGAACGTTTTTTCTCGCTTGCTGCTATTTATGGGCGCAGATGGAACTTTAGAAAAATTGAGACTGCATGAGTTAGAAAGCGCCTTTCGTGACATTTTGGCAGAAGACTTTGCATGCATAAGCGTATAAGGGGTGCGCCGCGAGGGCAGACTTCGATGGACTGAACCTGCATTATTAACCTGATTGAGCCCGCGGACAAGCTCAGCCTTCTGAGCTGAATTTCGTTCAATAATATCAACTCGGAATTTGCTGTGAGCTCCAAGAAGGGGCGTCGTAATGCCTTCCGTCACAGGTAACGGCACGAGTTGTAAAGAACGTCTTTATCTCGGTGAATCTACCATAGAGTGGAAACGGCTTTGCCGTATGTCTGTTAATGAAGACAGAGTAACCGGGGTGGATCACTGTATTATTGGATCACACCACGGCTGCCTCAGTGAGTATGGCGTGGAGGTCGGACGCCGCCAGGGCCACGCATTTTTAATGGATTATTGAGCCATGTGGACACACTACAAAACGCACGCCTGATGTGTGATATACCTTCAAGCGCAAACAGTGAAGGCGCATAGAGAAAAGAAGAATGGACTCATATCGCAGTGAAAGCAAATGTGTGATCGCAGTATGATTCACACTTTGGTGAGAGAAGCGTATCAATTTTCATACTGTATTATTGTGTATGGAACAGACACTATTCTCTTTACTGTCCATCAGATCTAGAGACTACTCCGCGGCACCAGAAAAAATGATGATATAAAATCATAGAGAGCTGAATCAGATGAGAACGGGAGAGGAAACATTTTTTGGGGCGCATGTGCTGACGATAGATTATCTAATTTTTTGTAGATAGCAAGGAGTATATACTAAGTATCGCTCTTAGTTGGATAAAATTATGTATATATATTGGATACAAATTAAGTAGTCTAAAGTTGTTGAATTGGCTTTAAATTCCGCTGAAAAAGAGCGTATCAAGCCATCCTATGCGCGCTAGATTTAATGAACAACGCTTTCCTTGTGCAAGTGTGCAGCACCCTGTTGCACCCCGCTATTAAGCGTCACCTTTTGATCAAAATAACACCAAAGAAATACAAGATAATTACAGTTGCAAAAGACACTCGACTTGATCCTTGACATAGACCACATCATTGCAGTGCATGGTTTTGAGATCTCAGCAGTGTCCTAAATACACTCAAGATCAAAGCACCAAGTGAGCCTCCTCGAAGGCTCAGATCACACCACACGATGAAAAAGCCCGGAGAGCTTATGTGAAATAATCTTTTTAGCTCAACGTCAAAACTCTTGGAGAGAGTAGACCGCCGGTGGACTTGTCTGTGTTAATATGATGACAATTGTAAGCTCAAGTGCTGGTGTCGGTTGAATCGAATCAGAGCCTTTAAATCACAGCTTAAACCAAATGACTGGCGTGACTTGTTTTTTCAGTAAAAATATTCTTTGCGGGGGTCTATTTCAATGAGAAGTCTTGCCATTATCGTGCCACACATCTCGTGAAACGGGGTTTCCACGCGCTTTAGTGTTGACTATCCAAGTCCGTAATATCCAAAGCACGTCACCCGCCGCCGAGCGATGGATCTCTCAGGGATCAAGTATCTTTTCTTGTTTACTTTTAAAGAGCGTTTTTTAATAAATATGTTTAAAAATGATATTAATTGTTTAAATATATGTTTCACTATTTAAATAATATAACCATATGTAACGCGTCCTTTGAGGCCACGAGCTTACGCATCCCACAACAGCTCCTGTTTGGAGTACCATCACTGTATACCTAATATATATTGTTTGCTTTCCCCATACTTCTAACGTTTGGTGTCAGTATAAGCGTGATGTTTTAAATAGAAAACATAGACAAATGTGTGTATTTGCTAGCCAATAATACAGCATTCGTTATTTTAACCGCCCTCAATCCCATCGGAAAACATCACTCTTTTGCAAGCACGTCATTCATGCCTGCTGGTCCAAACCATTTGCCATCTTATCGTCGGATTTTACGCCATTCAATCCGACTTGCACAAGCCCTCTCCCGCTCATCCCATTCTTGCGCTCCCACGTCGCTGTCTACCTGTTTTTGTCAAAGTCATCATAAGTTCACACCCACACGATTACTTGCCAATGAGCCGAGCCCCGTTTTACCTGTCCATGAAGTAGAATATGATTTCATATTGATGTGAATTTATACTACGTGGTTATACGTACCCTTATATAAATGGGTGGGCCGCACAAGATGGTGTGACCGTACAAAGGTGTGGATTACACAAGTCGGTGTAATCGCACAATGGTGTGGCTACATCGTAACAAGAAGCCACTACGTGGCGGAACTGCCGGTAGTTGGATATAGGTGGCTCTGCAGCAAATAAAAAAAATTAAATACAGTCTTCAATTTTGAACGGACGGGTACATTTACCTTGGCTAAGGTTTTGAGTACTCTTGGGTGTAGCGAATTGCGATCGCTACACTCGTTCTAGTTTTAGTGTGGAACACACGGTCAGTGATCTTAGCTTAGCTCCCTCTAAGCAAAGAGCTGTGGCAGCCCCGCTGCATCTCGTAGCACTCGTGGTCAATTCACGCCTAAGTCGTGACGACTGATCCTCTTTAAGGATGGAACAATTCTCTTTTCTGCCCCAGGACTCGCAGGACGGACTTAATTAACTGATGGCATTGCTTGGTTCTGAGGGCGTGCAACACCTTGCTTCGAAAGCCCCGGAACGATAAGCGCGCGCTAAGAGCGTTCTCAAACTATGGAAATGCTCTGCTAGCGCAAGATGTCGGCATCGACTGCGTCGATGTCGACACCGTCAACGACGGAAAACTCCTCCAGACCCAGGCCGCTCATGAAGAGCGTTACGACCTTCGAGGGTAAGGATGTAGAGAATCTCCTGCTGCAACGGGGTTAATCGTGCCCTTGTGAGAAAGGGCTGGTCGCACAAGATTGTTCGACCGTATATAGGTGTTTATTACACATTTAGCGTGATCACACAGCAGTGTGGCTACACTGTAACAACAGTCACACCCACCTTTGAATATTTATGACCATACTATAAAGATCTTTGCCGTTTGGTGCCTCCCGGACGATAAAGTCGTTTGGATGGAGCAAACGTTGTGATCGACCGGATAAGATTAAAGAAGACGTTTTAATGCTAAAACTTGATTAAAATCACGGGATCTAGTATGTTGCATCCAATTAGATATGTCATTTTGATGGGGGGCTTGTCTCTCTCGTAAACAAAATCGCAAGCACCTTACTCAAACAAGATACCTAGATTTGCAAAATGGACTAAATGCCCCAAAATGACTGTACATTGGCTCACTCTCTCTTGGTTCATTAGCCACTGTAACAATTCGAGAATTTTTTCATGCGTCGAGTCGATCAAGTTGGACCACCTGAATGGCATCGACCGATTGGTTTTGTCGGTTTGCGATATTTGACACCGTTGGTTGCAAAGTGAAGGCCCCGCATAGTCAAATAAAATTGATGACCCAGCAGAGAACACAAATGTGCTGCGCGATGAATCGCATCGAGAGGATGACAGAAGTGGGAGGCACATTAACACATGGGCAGTTGGGACTAATATTGATTGCAAACCTGTCAGAGATTTTACCATGTCTTAGGCATCAACTCATGTTTTTTAGATGACCAAAGATTGTACGTACATTGCAACGGGGCTGCCGTAGCGTTGCGCTTAGAGGAAGCGTAATTTAGGTCACCGAGCTTTTTTTCTATACCTAGAACAAGTACGAGTTAGCAGATCGCAATCCGCTTATTCCAAGAGTAATTATTGCCTTAACCTCAGC